CAAGATCGATGCCTTGCAAGGCCGCAATCAATCCACAGGCGAGCGTGCAGCAGGTCCTCGACAAGGCAGCGCAGGACGCAACACTGGATTTTGCAAGCAACTGGGGATGCTGCTGGCTCGTGAAGTCAGAGGTTGGGCCTGTCAGAGTTTGTCAGCGGTCGGTCGACTCCCGAGGGCTTGATTCATTCTCCATGTTTTTTCTTGTGGCATCTTTATGGTCTTTGGGAACCAAACGCGGCGATTTTGGGCTGGGGAACATGTTTTGGGAAGCTTGTGTAATGTTGCCTCCAGTTGATGTTTCACTGTTGCTTGTTGGACCTTGCTGCGAAACTGTGATATAGCTTTGATATGCTTCAATCATACATTTATGTTATATTTTAGATTCGTTGCTCGTCCTCTAATGGGTGAAATTCAACATGCGCGGTTTTGGTTGCACTGACTTTATTTGACTTCCTGACTGCGAGGCGCCCCCATGCACTCCTAACAGGGTTGAGCAGATTGCACTGACTTTCACGATTTGGGTGCATGTTAATTGTTCAAGCTTCCTGTTAAAGGTTGACTGCTAGCGCTTGGATTTTGACCCATGAATACGGAAAGAACCCATCTTTGGTTTCTTTTGCATGGGCTTGCCAGGCACCTTCAGAAACAAGGGCATTCTATATGCTCGGTTTGGCATTGCGCGTTTGGCTTCAGACGATTTTGTTGGTTGGCTCCATCCCAATTTGGGTTGGTAGGGGCGTTCGTAAGTTGCGGCATTGTTTAACGCACAATTTTCCACAGCTCCATTTTTGATATTTCAAGGCCTCTGAGAGATGTTTTTTAATCATTCACCAAGGTATGTCTTTGTTTTTGGCTGCGCTCTACGGATGGCTCTTCTCCGGAAGTGCTGCGTCAGGGGACAAGGTGAACTCACCTGAAAAGAACTGCTTGGCAGACAACTTTAGTGCCGGCGGATGTACCGGAGACTTTCAGGCCACTGGACGGATGCCACGAGAACGAGAAGTGTCCACTAATTCTTTGCAGTATGGCGATGGAGAGAGAGAGAGAGAGATGTAGCTCCTCGTTCTCCACAGTTGCAGTGGTGCAGGGCAGGGTCCCCAACTGGCAAATGCAAGGGAAAAGTCATGGTCTGAGTCTGAGTCCTTGTGTCCTGCTCAGCCTTCAAACCCCGGAAACCTTCAGGACATTCTCCTCCAACCTGCTTCACAACCTCAGCACTCTTTGCCCTCCCTCAGCTCTCAGCTCGATGGCCCCCACAGGCGCACTTTGGCACGCTGGTCTCGCTGAGTATTATGGCCATGATGGGCGCAGCTCAGCCAGTCGTCCTCCAATTCCCTCAGGAGCGGCCCGTGTTCTTGCGCGAATATGCCGCGCATCAGCAGCCTGGGCCTGGTTAACACGGTTAACGGCCTGCAGATGACCGTAGGACAGTGGGAGAAATGGAAAGGTGATTGGATGTGATTCGATGGATTTGATTCTTTGAGGTATGGAGTGGTACCTTACTTCATCAGCAAGACCCTGGTGGAGATGCCAGTGGTGCTGATGTCCTCGCTCCTGACTTTTGCGGTGACCTATTTTTGGATGGGCTTCTTACATGCATTGCGATGTGGAGGTCAATCTAGGGATGTACTTCCTCATGCTCATTCCCCCCCCTCAATCTTGAGATCAAGTACCCAAGCCATAGCCCACCAGAATGAGTCTTTTGGTCTGAGTTCTTCAGTAATTATATAGCCACTTCAAGAGGTTTCTTGCACACTAGGGCCACTAGGGGTTTGACATGTGAATGTTCCCTCAGACCCAAGATGGAACGCGAAACAGGCCCAGGTTGGCAGTCGGCCTTTGCACAGGATTCCAGGTTGGCTTGTGTTCTTTGTTCTGGGAACTTGTGCGGTTGAGCATTCCTGGTGGACTGTGGACTACTCATGACTACTCTCATGTTTTGGGCTTAATCACGCCTAGTTTGTTATCCTTTCCAAAGACTAACATTTGCTCAAAACACCTTGCGCAGAAGTGTGCACCGCTGCATCAGGCTTGCACGGTGGATTTGTTCTGCTGGTGTTGGTCTCGTGGCTTTTGGGCATTGCCTCTTCCTCTTTGGTGCACTTGGCTATGCTTGGCACTTTTTTTGGCCTTCCCCACATTTTCACAGCTACAGGAAAAAGAGTCTGAACACATCCCATCTCCACTTGAATTACTTGGTATACAAAGCATTACAAAGCCACTGGAACGAGTGTGTGGGGGGTGGAAGCACAACGAATTCACTTCGACCGGTGCTTGCCGGTGCATCCTCCATGTCTAAGCAGCCACATGCCACTCACGTTCGGGCGGTAGATGGTATGAGACGCTGGCCACTCACAATCGGATCAACTGGCATCGATTGGTCAGTTATCCTGCACTCATTCGGTCGCTAATCGACAAGACGTTTGTTGGAATGTTCCTGCATCCAACCTCCGAGCAATATCAGGCCCTCTCACCAGTCATTCCCTTTTGGCCCTCTAACCAATAGCAAGCCATAGCTGGAACCATCTGGAACCCAACCAAGCAGCACGAATCAATCACTGAAGAACCAGCTGCTTTGTTTTCTCCCTCCGTCCAACCCCGGTTCAACCGTTTATAGCCCTCCCACTTAGCACCGTGCCCATCCGTGCCTCGAGCATCGGGTAGGCCCTGTTGGTGGGCTGCGGCGTGGCATCGGCGCAGAAGGCCATACAGCTGGCACCTTTGACGCTGATCCCTCAGATGCTCTTCTCAGGGCTGTTCGTGGCGAGCCTGAACTCGATGGATGGGGAGAGATGGAGATGGATGGGCTCTGAAATGGAGGAGATGGCTGATCATTTTGTTCGGTGGAGCACACGGAATGGAAGCCGTCAGGTCAATGCAAGGTTTGGGGAATTAGAACATGGAAGTGGAACATAGTGCCATTTGTTGCACACCTCAATCATGTTCAAGAAGTCTTGCCAGGGATTTCCTGGTTCTTGAACAAATTTACTTCTTGGCAAGGACACACATATGGCCAGCACAAATCTTTGGTTCCGGAGTTCTTTCCATTTTGAGGGGTTGGTGAACACCTTTGGAACTGCAGGTCACCTGTCAACTCTTAAATGTCCATTCCATCTCGAAGAATGGGAGAACGAACCAGCACATGGCCTTTGCTAGCAGAGGATTGCCCTTAGGCCAGCCAAGCTTGGCTCTTGATTTGTCCTTCACTGAGGTCCCAGTGGCCAAGATTCCCTTGAGCTTGAGGTGGGCGAGATACCTATGCCCTTTGAAGTATGCCATCAACTTAATGACCATCGTGGAGTTTCAATATGTCAAGGACATTACTCAGGCTGGAGCAGCATTACGCAGGGTGCAGGGTGAGGGCTGTTTCATGCTGTTTCTTTGTTTTCTGGCTTGTGTACACGTGGCTCCTGGTTCAAAAACGATCAAATGGTGGTGGTGGCTTTTCAGCTGGGAGGTTCTGCCGAGCCAACTCACTCTGACATATGCTACTGTCAAGGACTGCGAGAAGCGTTCCTCTGAAATTGAGTGCATGCAAGAGCATCCCGGTGACTACCTTCGCCTCCAGCTGGTGAACACGCAAAGTGTCCTGTGGGATGACTGGACCCAGCACTTTGGGTGAATAAGTCGTGACAGGCATTCGGGTGAATTGAAACCTCTGCCTCCAACCTAGAAGCGATGGCCTCCAACCTACTAGCGATGGCCTCCAACCTACTAGCGA